GCTGTCTGAGGAATTCTGGGAGTTGAAGTCCACAAGTCTTAAAGTTGCCAAGGTTGGAGACCCCTGCCTTAGAGCTTGAAAGATACTTCACAGGATCACCTGGCATTTAAGGCAATTGCCTCATGGCAAGGATCACCTGGCTTATTATTCTTTTTTTCTGCTTGAATTTTCCCCATTCCTTTTGTTTTTCAGGATTAGAGTCATAGAGTTGGAAGGAACCTTGTCCTTGGAGGTCTTTTAGTCCAATTGCATGACCAATGGTGGAATCCTTGTAACATTCTAGTCAACAGAAGTAAAGAGTCCAAGATCTTTCTCACAAGTATTATTGCTACACCAGATACCACCCATCTTGTACATGTGCACCTGGTTTTTCTTGCTTAAGTGCAGATCCTTACATTGAACACCATTTTGTTGGAAAGGCCCCCAGCAATGTTCAGATTTATCAAGATCCTTTGGAATCCTGAGCTTGTCTTCACAAGTATAAGCATTTCCTCCAGATTTCTATCTTCTGCGGATTTTATGAGCGTGCCTTTTATTCCCTCATGTAAGACATTTATGAAGTTATTGAACAGTACTGAGCTGAGGACAAAATCCTGAGGTACCCCACCTTGTATCACATTTCCCCCAAGTTATGAGTCAATCATGGTTTGATTGAAACTACTACTGAAATCTATGAATTCTGTGAGAAGCAGGGAATTGGGATGAAATGGAGTTCCAAGAGGAAATTGTCAGCACTGAAGTTCTAGAAAACCATCTCCAAAACTATCAGCATTGTCTCCCAAGCAGAAAATGGGTGCAGCTTATAAAGATCAGTACAACTCCAGGGTGTTGTGGGGATTCAGGGTGTGACATTACTCTCAGATTCTCAATTAGCAGAACAATTCTGTAGGGACATGGCTTCCATCTGGCTTCTGGCTTCCATTTAATTATTTAAAGCAATTTAGCAATAATTCTCTCGCGCGTGCCTAGGCATTACAATAATCTCTACTAAAATTCTAAGGACTCCATACTTCCTTTATACGGTATTACATGAAAAACCATTTAATCATATTTCAGCAGCTACCTCTTTTGTGAACAGATAATTCCAAAGGGTGACATTTGCAATGAAGGGAAATAGAGGATTAATGCTTAGTCTCCCTTCCCTTCCCTTGTTTCTCCAGAATAAAAAATTCTGGAAAACATAAAATCCTAGGGACAAAACACTAGCTGTTTCCCCATTGTAAAATTGTTCTTTCCAAAGATTCCTGGAAATGTAATACTGGTAGTTGTTGTGATTAAAATATAATGTGTGAATGAGTCTTAAGAAAGAGACAAGATTAAGTACCACAACAAAAATTAAAGCCACATTTACCTTTGACTGGCTTTTCTTGCTTTCACTGCTCTGAGATGATTCTTGTGAACTCTGAGATAGATAAACAAATAGATAACAGTGGGAAATTCACTTTAGGCAGGATGTACAGTGTAACATAGGTATGATTGATTGGGGTCTCAGATTTTAGAAGCTAGCAAGTGATTTGTTAGCTATACATTGAAAGGAGTCAGCAAAAACAGAAAATGAAAATATGTGAAAACATGCATACAATGTTTTTCTGGGGGCTTTTGAGTAGGAAAATGGCATAAAAAGCAATTGGGTTGTAAAAACGTCTGGAAATTGTATCTATAGTAAGTAATTTTATCTATCATAAGTAATCTTTGCAGATAAAATTTGAATCAGATTGCTATTACTTGAAAGCATTTCATTATACTAAGTCATTTTAAAATACATGCTGACTTTACGAAGAACAGAAATATTTCAGAGAAAATGCTTACTTTGATACATGCTCCACTATTTGATTGGGATACTTTTCCCTAATTCCAAAAAAGAAGAAAAACGGTTATTAAAAATAATATTTCCATAAAAATTATAAAAGAAAATAATTTGAAGGCTTTTGTTTGGGGAAAAAAACAGTTAGTAGTTGTATTAATTTTATTATTCTTCCTTGTTTTAATTGAAATGTACCCTCTGGTGTGCTACCCTTTATCACACAGTTTAATGCAATAAGTAATAATGGAATGCTACAAGAAATAGCATCCACAAGACTGAAGACGCATAATTTGTCCCACATACCACAAATACTAACATTTTTGGCCTACGTTTTTGGGGAGGTATCAAAGTGGTGCTGAGATAGGCCATATATGTCTGTGCATTACATTGTTTGCACTTCTGATTTAGGTCTTCAATTCTTATTTGGAGTGAGAAACATCTGTAGACTTTCAGATGTTTCTAGACTATAGTTCCCAGCATCCTAGAGAGCCACAGGTTCTTCAATATTAATAAGACATCGCCTTTTTTCATATATTTTTAGTATTGAATTAGTCAGACCTGTCCTTGTTTTTCAGATTACTACATTTATTTCAATCATTTAGAGGTGTTTTTCAACCTTAACATCTTTTTCATTTGTGGACTTCAACTCCAACAACATAGTAAAGGATATGGAAGTTCAAAATATTTAGAGAGCAACATGTAACCTCTACCTAAACATGATGTTGGTTACATTTCTTGGTACAACTAAAAACAAAAGTTTATTGGTAGTATAATATTAGAATTTTTTTTAGAAAAAAGTATCATACCTCACCACAGTTTATTTTCAGAGTCAGAAATGACTGAAATGAAAAGTAAAAGTTGTTATTATTTTACATAATAAAATCATATTAAATATTATTGTATATAACATCTTATCTACAACACGATGTTATCAATCTAGGAAAGGATGCCCAGGTATTCTGTAAGGACAGGGTTTTACATCCTATATTTTCCTCATGAACCCTGAAAACCGAAAGCATTTTATACAGTAATGATTATGTCACACCACAGGGAGATTATTTGGTTTTGTCTTAGTCTAGCCTGAGATACTTATTTCACAAATCTTTCTATGGTTTCTAGAATGAGGCTAGAAATAATCATACAGAAGGACACATTGCTAGAGTTACTTAATATACACATAAGAATATTCTTCATTATTTTAAAAATATATTTGTGGTATTCAATTAATCCCCCTCTATTAAATTAGATAAAGGTAAAAAATCATCTATGTTTAATAGATACCTTTCTCCTACTTTTTCTTGTTGTATTTCTTTTATCAAGATCTGGGGAACCAACAGTTGTATTGGATACATATTCTTCTTCAGAATCAGGAATAAGAATATTGAGATCAATATCTTCATCACTGAACACGTCAGAATCAGCTGGGATCTTAGAAACCCCTGATGCTATGGAATCATTGGCTAGCATTGAACGATTGGTTGCCATAAACACATTAGTGTCTACACCTCTGGGCGAAAGAGTTTTGCTATGAACACCAACCCAGTAGTTATCGTAATCCTGAACAAAGGTTCCCCTAAGGGAGAAGAAAATGGAGATATTATTCAAGACAGGTAGATTTTCTCTAATAAGGTATATCATGTCATAAACACATGATCTTTTGCATTAATACTTTTCAGCTCATGATCTGGATTAACTTTATCTTTAACAAAGAAAAACATAGGTAGTTATTTTTAGCTGGGAGACAACTATTACACTCAAGTCATAATTTTCTTTTAGGCCTAGAAGCATGAAGCTTTCTGTTTTTTAATTTTATCCATCTGAATGTATTTAATCCATAGCTGATTTCCCCTTGCCCTCCCTGCCAAAATTCCCCATGAAAAATATTTCTTATAGGTGTGTTATTGCTCAAATATACGTGTTTGTCCTGAACAAAAATACAGATTTTATTTGATAATTTGTAAAAAGAACTCCCTTAATAAACAGGAAAGTCACCACTTACATAATCCTTATTCTTCTAGTGCCCTGAGGAGCAACCCAAATTGTTGTAATCCTGTGCTTTACAATTGGGTTGATGTGACTTACTGCAGAATTCTGAAAATAGAAAATAGATGAAATTAAGAATTCTGGAAACAAATATACATGCATTGCTCATTAATAAAAAGGAACACTGCATAGATAAAAGCTGGATGCTGTGTGATTGGTAATATATGTGTCCAAATCATTTTTCTTAATTCTTCAACTAGCAAAATAATACAGACATATGTAATAATATGCCCAAACCAAGATTCCCAACTTATTATTTCTAAACAAACTAGGAATCAAAAGGTAAGAACAAATTATTGGTTCAAATTCTGCTTATTATGAAAGTAAGAAGTTATGATGGCCCCGTTGGAAGCCGGTTTGGAGCAGGAAGATGATCCAGGGCCATAAGACATGGATGGCATCCCCAGGAGCATCCAGAGAACCTGGTGTCTGAAGAAGATGCAGTCCGATGTCTGTCTGGCATGGGGGGAGGGAAGCTGGGGAGGTTCAGCTGCCTCCAATAAAGAACAGCTGCCACCCCTCATCCAATATGTAGATGCGAAGAGTGGAGCAGAATAACAGAATAATACAGTTGAAAGGGACTTTGGAGATCTTCTAGTCCAATCCTCTGCTCAGGTACAAGACCCTATACCATTTCAGACAAATGGTTGTCCAAGCTGTTATTGAAAACCTCCAGCGATGGAGCACCCAAACAGCTTCTGGAAGCAAGTCATTCCATTGATTAACTGTCAGGAAATTTCTCCTTAGTTCTAAGTTGCTTCTCTCCTTGATGAGTTTCCATCCATTGCTTCTTGTCCTGCCCTCAAGTACTTTGAAAAATAGGTTGACCCCCACTTTTTGTGGCACCCACTTAGATATTGGAACACTGCTATGATGTCACCCCTAGTTCTTCTTTTCATTAAATTAGACATACCCTATTCCTGCAACTGTTTTCTGTTTTAGCTTCCATCTTTGTTGCTCAGGGACGCACAGAGGAGGTCAGCAAAGCTGCTTATGAAGAAGCAGCTTCACCCCTCCTAACAAGAAACACTGGGTTGGAGATGATTTGGCCAGGCATGGGGAAAAGCGTGTTTGTCAGAAACAACCATGTACTTCTGCAACACACTCTCTTTGACTTTATGGACTTTGGGCCTTGCTTTGTAGACACTGGGCCTTCCTTTGGCTTTGTGGACTTCGGACCTTGTTTTTTGGACTTCGGACCTTGTTTTTTGGACTTCGGACCTTGCTCTTGATCTGTGGATTTCAGACCCTGCCCTGTGGACTTCAGATGTTGCTCTTGCCTTTTGGGCTTTAGTATTGTCTGGTGGATTTTGGATTTTTCTCTGTGGATTTTGGACTTGCCTCGTTGAATTGTGGATCTTGCTTTTGTGGATATCAGATCTTGTCCTTGAGATTGTGCTCTCACAGAGAAATTGGGGTTGAATTTCACCAGCATAACTCCAGAACAGTTTGGAAGCTCTCAGGTTGCTTTGGGAAGCTACTTGATTTATGTATGGTTGTGCAATAAACATAATATACTAGCATCTGGCATTAGTGACTTGGGTCAGAACAGAAGTTAGGGATCCCAGTTTAGTTAACACATTGAACAAACCAGGCCTAATTTGTTAAATCACTCTTACAAGCAAAAGCAATTGGAAGCAACCCTAAAGGACATTACTGATGATTATTCCCTAGGGAACGAACGGGTTCTTAACTTGCAGTGTTACAATACATGACCAACTTTTAAAAATAAATAATTTGTTGCAATCCAAAAATAAATGAGCATTTACGGTAAAGGTAAAGTCAAGCAGTAGGAGGAGTAGAGATTTCAGGAATATTCTTTCCTATAGGATATTATCATAGAAACTTGAACATCCATTAGTTTTTCTCTGCTACATTGTATATAAAACAAAATCAAGGTATGATTCTTTTGAGTTTCATTCTCATGCTTTCTTCTTTTTTGGGACTGAACAATATATTCTGAAACTCTGAACACTTCATTCATCTTTTCCTCATTCCCAGGGCCATGTCTGCATTCCATCACATGAAGGGACTTTGTTAAACAAATTTTCAAAGAACAACATAGCATAAATACATTAACTGAACACAAAGTCACATACCGTCATATTGGCACATGGGAGACCTCGTGTGTTTGGATCTACAATATGAAATGTGCCAACAGGAACATTTCCATCAAGTTCTCGGGCCTGTACCATAAATGCTTTAAATCCAGATGTTGATGTTCCTTCTAATACCACTAGGGAAAACCAATGGATAAATAATTCATAGCATTAGAGAGGTGTGTGGGTGTTTGGGGGACAGGGGTTCATTAGACTTAAAATATATACCAGTGCTTTTTTTTTTCTAATTATTTTTTTACTTTCATTTTGAAGGTTCAGTGGTAGTCACACAATATATTCTTTGCTGGAATAAATAGTCCCTAGTATTTAGCAGTGCATCAAAATTAGTTTTAAATTCAAGTATTGAGATATAAAAATGTAAGAGTTGGTTGAACACTTTCAAGTCAGTTATTGCTAAGATGAGACCAGCTCCTACCTACTTCAGCTCAACTAAGTGTCATCTCATTCTCCTTAGCATCAAGTTACCTAGTTCTAAAAGAGTGTGGTAAATATTTAAAAAAAAATTAATCAAGAAAACAAATTATATAACTTGCAACTTCCACCAATATGCAAATAAAATGCCTTTTAATAATTTTCACTAAATTGCATTTAATTAATATTTTGCATTTGCTGAGGACAAATAAGGAGACATGCAATCCAGTCTCAAATCCAAAATATTCTATGCTGATTTCTGAGACAGCACAGCAGTCCAAAAAGAAAGCCCTGAAGGCATGGTGACCAGTGAGATATAATTTTGGCATACATTGCTGACATAATTTCTTTTTCTTTTCTTTTCTTTTCTTTCTTTTTTTCTTTCTTTCTTTATCTCTTTCTCTCTGTGTGTGTGTCTCTTTTCTTCTTTTTTTCTCCCCTCTCTTTCTTTCTCTCTCGCCTTCTTCTTTCCTCCCTTCCTTCCTTTTTTCTTTCTACAAGAGCAAACAAATTAAGTTTGCACACTCCTGAAGTACAATGTTACAATCTGTATTTCTTCTGAATGGACAGTGTCTCATAAAACTGTATCATATATCCAGCTAATTTTAGCTAAATAGGCTAATGTCTTACACCTTAAAGACATTATTTTTTTTATTTTTTAAAGGAACAAACTGGATGGCAAATTTAAACCAGCACTGAAAAACCTATTGACAGATAACAATATTCAAGGTCTGATGGATTTTAGCATAATTTACTTAATTTCTGAGCTAGATTGTACCCTTGCCCACTTTTTTTTACCTTGTATTTCATTTCCAGGGTCATATCTATCGAAAGAGACAGAGATGACATAAGGTGGGCTTGAGGTCTGTGGGGCACTTCCATGATCTGGTAACATGGAATCACAAGCTATTGAAATACCATTGTATGGATATCCAAGGATCTGGGATACAAATACTGTACAAAAAATGATCCCAAAGAAGGAATAAATCTCCATCTGAAAAAAAGAGAGACAGAGAAAAAAAATGAATGAGTAGGAAATATCTATAGAAAAATGGGCAGTTTGTTTTGCCAGGGGTGAGAAAATAATTATTACTAAAAATACATAATTTTTTCAAGAGTACTACACTCCTCTGCTCGCAACAGAATACCCTATATCACCAGACTTGAAATTTTGGGCTTGGACAATTTTGAACTACGCTGCCTACGGTTGGACTTAAGCGTAGTACACAAAATTATCTGCTACAATGTCCAACCAGTCAATGACTATTTCAGCTACAACCGCAACAATACAAGAGCACACAACAGATACAAACTCAATGTTAACCGTTCCAAACTTGATTGCAGAAAGTATGACTTCAGCAACAGAGTGGTCAATGCCTGGAATGCACTACCTGACTCTGTAGTTACATCCTCAAACCCCCCACTCCTTTAACCTCAAACTATCCACTATTGACCTCACCCCATTCCTAAGAGGTCTGTAAGGGGAGTGCATAAGTGCACCATTGTGCCTCCTGTCCCTGTCCTATTGTCCCCATTTAATCGTACCTATTTTCTGTATTCTTACTCATGTTTATATTTATATCTATTATTTTGTAAGTGAATGACAAATCAAATAAATAAATAAATAATAAATAAAATGTCGGTGGCTGCGCTCACAAGTTAAAAATAACCTGGCTTCATATTGATTTATCTTAAAATGTGAATCTACTCATTGAAAACTGTAAACTATGGTTTATGGAAGGCGTAGGAGACATTGTTAAATCTGTTGCAACTTTTTTTTATTCAATTTATCAACCTCCAAAGAGATAAAATGGAAATATCACATTTCAGTCCTTTTCCTCCAATTGTTCATTTCTGAGTTTGTTAAACCTGTTCCGGGGAGAAGAATAGGGCTGATGTGGGCTGTAAAAAGGTAGACAACTAGTGTAGTAAATGTTAGCAAATCATCTAGTAATCTCCTGAATTTTTCAAACTCACACAGCTCTGAATAAGACAAACATCTGGCTTCCATGGCACATATACTATGAAGTGAAAACAAAAGTCAAGGTAGACCCTGGTGAATTGGAAGGCTGCTAGTTGGCAGGGAAGCAGATGACTAACCACCATGTCTCTGCTCCATTTCTTGGTTGTATTGTCCGTGGATGTTTGTTGTGTCTGGCTGCCTGGCTGCTGTCTTATGTTATACAGTGGTTTGTGTTTGCACTTTTCTTGTTTTGTTTTGAACTGATAGCTGCCCATAGCCATGCCTTTGAAATGCATTTTCATACACATTTACTAAATAAATAAACAAATAGGCAGAGAACAACCTTAAAGGAACAGTCATTCTAGAAATGAATAACCCTTATGGTGGTTTTTACAACAAGAGAATGCATTTTCTTTTCCTGAAAATTCTAACCAAAATAGAGGTTAGAATTTAGGATGACTTACAATATTCATTTAGTGACAGTTCACTGAAAAAAAGTGACTTATTTATTACTATTTTTCACACTTATGATCATTACAGTGTCCTTGTGGTCACATGATTAAAATTTGGGATATTTGCCAATTGGCATGTATTTATGACGGTTGTAGTTTCCCAGGGTCATGTGGTCACTTTTTGCGACCTGACAAGCAAAATAAATAGAGAAGCCATATTTACTTCCCAATGAAGGGAACTTCCCAGTTGTTATTAAGTTAACAACTGCAGTGGTTCATGTAACAACTGTAGCAAGAATAGTTGTAAAATGGACAAAACTTACTTAACAGCTGTCTTGCTTAGCAAGGGAAATTTGGGGCTTGATTGTGGTCATATATGGAGGACTACCTGCAATTAACTCAACAATTAATCTGAATATAGAATGTATCTCTTGAGGGAACGGCAGTTCCAAGAAGCTATTTCATATATTCTCATCAGCTCAAGCCACTTCCATCAAGTTTAAATATAATTTACAGTATAATATCCATTTTTACCTTTTTTGACCATGCTCTATACCTACAGTATGTCCTCTGGTATACATTTTTTGTTTGTGATACAATTTAAACTGGACATTTAGTTGTATAAATATTTAGAGCCTGTAAATTCTGTTTGCAACACCAACTCCCACTTTCTTTGGGGCCATTGTCTTAAGCATTTGTGATACTTTTCATTCTTGCTACAGACAGTGGATTTGGGGTCTGCAAATGTTGAAAGAACGTATCATATAAAGAGCCCACCTCTTCCTAATGGTATTCTAATTTTAGCTATACTATTTCATCGTATTTCCTCTAGAGAAGGAGACGATGTTGATCTAAACTAGAAAGGCCCTGCAAATACTTAGTTATATCGCAACTCAGATATATGGCACAGGTATCTTAGGTCACATCATGTCAGGAGATAAATCAAATATCAATAGCCCTTCAGGTTATGAGCAATAGCTTCATGAACCTCTACTATACTTGAGACATCTGCTTTATATCAAGTCAGACCTCTGGCCTGACTCGCTTAGCATGTCATTATTGGCAGTCAGCAGCCCTTCAGGGTTTCAGGAGGAGTTTCTGCCAGCTGTTGACGAAATACTATTATTTGAAGCAAGGTTCTTCTGCACTCAATGCATATGCTCAGTATCACATAATTATCTTTATTAACACTGTTATGAACTAACAAAAACTATTTAATAAAACTTATCAACCTCATG